ATGGACGGACGGACGAACGGACAGGGGTAAAACAATATGCCAGCCAACTTTGAGTTGCAGGGGCATAAAAAATAAAATGTGACTGCATTAAAGACTGTCAACTCGCCCCACTTATGACAAAAAGAATTAAACCTTAAAAATGCATCTTGGTTTTTATGCCCGCGCCGTAGCGGAGGGGGCATTAAGTTTTATCCGTGTCCATCTGTACGTACGTACGTCCCAAAATTGGTTTCCGTTCTGTAACTTAAGTTTGCCTAAACCAAATGTTATGAAACTTATACACAATGCTTATTACCACCACAAAACACAGATCAAGTTTGAATTTTGGTGGCGTCACTTTTACCGTTCTAGAGTTATGCCCTTTTACAAATGTAAAAATTGCTGAATTTTTCGTTTCCGTTCTCTAACTTAAGTTTGCCTCAACTAAATGTTATGAAACTTATAAAAAATGCTTAATACCACAAAACTCAAATCATGTATAAATTTGGGTATCGTCACTTTTACAGTTCTTGAGTTATGTCTCTTTATAATGTTATATGCAAGCGGGGGTATCATCTTTGTCCCATGGACACATTCCCCATTTATTTTACTTCTTTTCTTTTGGTTGAAACAAAGCAGAAAGAAGTTAGTATCAGAATTTCAGTGACGTACGATGTTCTTGACCATCTTATTTGTTTATGACTTTTGTTTTCAGGTAAATATAAAACACTGTTTTACAAGATAAGTCAAGAATCATTGGTATTCACATAATTTTATCCTTTTTCAGAAGTGGGCGAGTTGGCAGGACTTAATTCAACGGGATTATTATATACACCTTTTTCATAAGTGGGGTGATCGAGTTGGTAGAAAGTGGGGCGAGTTGGTGGAGAAGTGGGGCGATTTGGCAGTGGGGCAAGTTGTCTTGCTTCCGTTCACAAGACATTAATTATTTTGGACCTTTTGTAATAAAAATATAACTGCATGTACCAATACATGTATCATTTATATATCTATGATATATTATTTCTCTGAGTTCATTAAAATACTTCTTTTAAATAGAATATATCTATCATTCATGCATGTACACAATCATTCAGACTTATTTAAAAAAAAAAACAATTTCTCTCTGATTCAAACTATAGGAAAACATGTAAGTAAATTAATTTCTATGTACATGATGTAAGAAAACCGTTGGAAATAAAAAAAATACTGACCATTAATGGAAGTTAAAATAAATAAAAGCTAGCTCCTGGTACAAGGATTTTTAGTGTAGCAGAGGACTTAGACAACAAAAGGTTACATAAACAGTTTTTCCTGACATTTGTTGTTTCTCCAAAGATGATAATGTAAAACCGGGTGTTGAAAACAAACACTTGGCAGCACTTTGCTACTTCAAACTAAATGAAAAAATAAACAACTGATTTAAGAATAGTGTAATTAAAATCATCTTAGTACAATTTAATGTCCTGAATTTAACCATAAGGAAAAATATTAAATACAGTGTGTAATGAAAATATTTACAATCAGACCTTACATAAATAAGGTCGTTAGTTTTCTCGTTTGAATTGTTTTACATTGTCATTTCGGGGCCTTTTATAGCTGACTATGCGGTATGGGCTTTGCTCATTGTTGAAGGCCGTACCGTGACCTATAGTTGTTAATTTCTGTGTCATTTTGGTCTCTTGTGGAGAGTTGTCTCATTGGCAATCATACCACATCTTCTTTTTTTATACTTATAAATGTTTCATCTCTAATAATGATATTGCATACCATTTTTTACTTTGAAACAAATTGTAATCTAAAAAAAAATTGGTTAATTCATATGTTTCAGAGTTAAGTGTGACGTCCAATTTTGCTGAACAAGTATACATAATATTTTGATAGGCCAGCAAATGCCCACCTCCGGGTGCGGGATTTTCTCTCTGTGTTGGTCTAATGCTGTATTCTGCTCTTTGGATGGGTTGTTGTCTCTTTCGCACATTCCCCTTTCCATTCTCACTTTTTATAAAGAATTTTTAAAAGTAATGTAATTGTATTATGAATTTGATGAGAAATCAAGTACAAAAAATTTTTTTGCGATATACCGGTATATCTTGAACACCTACAAATGGACATAAATAGTGGTCCCTTACAATATTTCCATTTATTATAGGATTAAGGTGTCAGACCACCAATTAAAAATCCCTATCTGTTCAACCAAATTTTGCAATTTTCACAGCTTTTTAAATATTTTACCATAAGTGTAACTTCATAGAAACCAGGTATATCCTAAATTGTACATGTATTACCTTTCTACATGCCAATTTTCAACCCATGTTTAAATCTTCTAAGAAAGAATTGCCTTTGGGAAAATAACTACTCCAAAAATAACACCTGGTTTTCATGAAATCTTAAATAAGTATACTATGTAGCGCATTAATCCTGATTTTTTAAAGCAAACTCTTCTAAAGACAAGTGAATTTTGGCTCAAAATGGTCTAAATATATTTTTCTTTCAATAAAAGTTTCATTTCTGCAAATTTCTTTGTTAGTTTTTAAAGTAAACAGTGACATCAAAAACACTATTTTGTGTCAGAATAGGGCTACTTTTACATACATTCTAAATTGGAGGGAGTAATTGGTGGTTTGACACCTAAAACGCCTTTGTAAAGGAATTTATTGGTGTATAAACTCAACCAATTCACTCACAAACAAATAAAAGACAGAAGGCCTTTTTTTATATGTTTGTGAGTGACTTGGTACAGTTTATACAGCAATAAATTCCTTTGTCTTTAATGTATTGCCTTTTCACAATTTCACATAATTATGTATTACATATGTACCTTAAAATATCTTAAGATCTAATCAAGGAAATACAAACTGTTTGATTTTGTTGTTATTTTTGAAGGGATGGAAAGAAAAGATGTACAAATGATGACAGTCGCCTGTCAATATAATACTACTAAAAATATTTTTTCACTGTAATTATGAAATCTTCAGGCGACTGTGAAATGATTAATGCAACTTGTAACCTATAACCTATAGTCTATACTAACCTGTGCCAATTGGAAGTACAATGCCTGTTGCTAGAAAAATATGTTGGACCTGTTGCTATATCAAACGACGTCCGTGTTTTCTGAAATTGATGTGCACTGCTAAGCATGATGGTAGCATACACTTGACTGACCGCTGTCTATTGTATTCACGATTGTTAAGTTCCAGTAAATGATTTTCACAAATTACAGTGTTTGGTCTCTTGTGGAGAGTTGTCTCATTGGCAATCATACCACATCTTCTTTTTTTATACTTATAAATGTTTCATCTCTAATAATGATATTGCATACCATTTTTTACTTTGAAACAAATTGTAATCTAAAAAAAAATTGGTTAATTCATATGTTTCAGAGTTAAGTGTGACGTCCAATTTTGCTGAACAAGTATACATAATATTTTGATAGGCCAGCAAATGCCCACCTCCGGGTGCGGGATTTTCTCTCTGTGTTGGTCTAATGCTGTATTCTGCTCTTTGGATGGGTTGTTGCCTCTTTCGCACATTCCCCTTTCCATTCTCACTTTTTATAAAGAATTTTTAAAAGTAATGTAATTGTATTATGAATTTGATGAGAAATCAAGTACAAAAAATGTTTTTTGCGATATACCGGTATATCTTGAACACCTACAAATGGACATAAATAGTGGTCCCTTATAATATTTCCATTTATTATAGGATTGAGGTGTCGGACCACCAATTAAAAATCCCTATCTGTTCAACCAAATTTTGCAATTTTCACAGCTTTCTAACTATTTTACCATAAGTGTAACTTCATAGAAACCAGTTATATCCTAAATTGTACATGTATTACCTTTCAACATGCCAATTTTCAACCCATGTTTAAATCTTCTAAGAAAGAATTGCCTTTGGGAAAATAACTACTCCAAAAATAACACCTGTTTTTCTGGAAATCTTAAATTAGTATACTATGTAGCGCATAAATCCTGAATTTTTAAAGCAAACTCTTCTAAAGACAAGTGAATTTTGGTTCAAAATGGTCTAAATATATTTTTCTTTCAACAAAAGTTTCATTTCTGCATATTTCTGTCATACAATTTGGAAGTTTAGCTAGCAATAAAACCAGGTTCAAATCACCATTTTCTTCGGAAAATGTCTGTAGAAAAACAGGAATATCACAGGTTTTTTTTCTCACTAACACCGATGGTTGATCACGTTTGATTTTTCCGTTTTTTTTTGTGGATTTCCCCTTTTGCATTTACCTTAGAGTTTGGTATTTTTGTGATATTTTTTGTATTAGTGAAATCTTCACCAACAGGATGGGTGTTTAAATGCCATTGTGGTTCAATGTAAACAAATCCACCAGCACAGAAACAGTGCCAGCACAGAACATACTCTCGCAGAACAATTTTACCCAATGTGAGTGATGCTCGAGACAAAAATATTTAAAAATTAACAATGCATTACAAATGAATAGTTTATAAACCAAAACTGGTTAACTAAGACTCCGATAATGTTGCTGCGATGTTTGCTTTCGCTTGCTATATATATCCATTGTAGCATACAGTTATAGGAAGAGGAGACTGACAAAAGTATTGACTGAAGTTAATTTTCTAAATGACATGTAGTTAAAAATTTATTTCAAGGGACGGTGAAGAACAATACTAATGTGCATACATTATATACATGTGCGTTCACAGAAATCTAAGATATGAAACATGTCTGCTTCTATCCAAAATTCTCTCTTTTTCGGCATGCATTTTAAAGTGCTGACATCTATCCCAGTTTGCAATACCTACTTATTTAATATATATATATATATATATACAAGTCTAAATTGAAAACAACGTTCAAACCTATGATTGCGTTGGATAAAAACCGCAATTTTTATACGTGTGCATGCAAAACAAATTTCTTAAATATATATATATATTGCTTCATTCGTTTGCTCTCGTCCTAAGTATACGTGATATATCTACCACTGGACGGTAAACATACAACACGTCAATCACTTCAAGATATGCAATGGTTTATAAAACAGAAAAAATCTTGTTTTATTTATAAAAGTTCCCTCAAAAATAATATACTAAATCATTTAAATTAACAAACTCCCTCTAAACATTTATCAACTGACTTTGTTCTGTAATAGTTTCCTTACAATCTTGTCTAGTCCAACATAACTAAGATTATTTATATTCCTACTACTAACAGGTGGTTGTAACACGTAAAACAACACGGCTATTACACCTCCCATGAATATTATGAACTCCATCCGGGTAAACATATCATGACTCGTGGACGATATATCTGAAATTAGAACATAAAATATTTATACTAAGGTACATTTACTCATGGATAGATTCTACAGATAAGATGTATCTGAAATTAGTACAAAATCGTGATTGTAGACGATCTGCAGATGGAACAAAACTGTTAAACAAGTGTCAATTATTCTGACAATTACATATTTTGAATACCAAACAACAATGAACACTCACGAAATATTCAAACATTATCTTGTATTTGTCAATAAAATTAAACTAAATATGAATGCATGTGCTCTCCAAGGACCATGGCAACATTAGAAAAACACATAGAAAAACACATACACAAAGCTTGATTTAAGTCACAATTTCGTTGATATACCATAACTGTGATAATTAGAATTGCAAGCTTATTTTTTTATGTAATTGTCAAGGAAATGTGTTGATCGTGTTTTCCGATCAACGGTAGTAAACCTGAATTATATTTTTTCTAAATGTTGCGTACTGTGCTTTATAAAGATTCTTTAGTTTATTGGGTTGTAACCGAAAATTCAAAAAAAAATTAAACGAAACAAGAAAACCAATAGACAAGCATACAACAACTAACAAAAATACTACATTTGAATTGTTTTCTTGCAATTCTGTAACTTCAATAATTTTGTATGTTTTTATATTATAGACCTCGGCAAGCGACTTCATGGAATTTTGATTTAAATAGAAACATTTTCAATTTCTGTATCTTGGCAGGACAAGCCGTTTCTTACCTTTAAATGGTGCTTTTGAATCGTCTTGTTGCTGTTGCACGTGCCAGACATATGTTGCAATCAAAACACAAGTACCCAAAAAAACTGAAAGAATGTTTATAGATTCACTTTCTAATATATGATGCAGTAGGTATCCCACCATGCGATACCCGGATGTCTCTAAAACTGTTTTTGTACATATCACTTGATTGCATAATAAGTATAACACTGTCACAGAAGCTAAACCAGACAAAGATGACACTAGCATAAACGTTCCCAAGTTAGAATGATTCGTGAATTCTAAAACGGGCACCATCACAATAGTTCCGGCAAAGAATATACCAATAGCTCTCAGGCGTAGTGTGACCTTGATATTTTGATCTTTAAAATGTTTCAGGCATATCAGCTTTAACACAGTTGCAAATACAGAGGAAAACGATAAGTAATCTATTCTGTTCATGGTGAAATCTGTATTACACCGAGCGTTACAAACAATGCGCCTATAAACAACAGACCAGTGGTTACCATGGTGATATGCTGTAATTGAGATCCTTTACAAATAACTAGACAGATCAGTACAATGATTGACATAAGAGGTGGATATATCCGTCCCTCTGTCTCCAAGAGGGACAATGTTGTAATATTTCAATAGACCACTTGATAATACATGGAGGAAAAAGAAAATTGTAATCGATTCGGAATTTTCAACAATCAGTCGGAACTCCTCTGTTTGAAATGCCACTAGAAAGAACACCAGTTCAATGACTGCTGATGCCAGTAGACTTTTTATGATCCATTTGTCCCCAAACAGATTATCTCCTTCTATCAAACATTTAGTACCGTTCCATTGTAAAATTAAACTCCCAAGAATTAGTCCACTTATTGCAAGTTGTTTCAATCTCGGTTCTAATTTCCTGAAAAAATAATTAAAAACAATATGAATTCATTAATTTGGAAAACTTACCCGTTTAATGCACCGGCAAAAAACGTATATACCGAAGAGAAAATAACAAAGCCTTGACAAAAAAAACGACAAATGACGAAAAAGACAAACAAGTCCACAAAACAACCCAACTAAACAATGAGTTACACGAACCCCACCAAATCAAAGAGGTTTGGATGTTAGAGAGCAAGAACGATTTATGCACAGGATTAATTATTGTAGTAAGTTAAACTTAAAGTTGACCATGACTTTCAATGTATGTTTAATTTCCCTGAAACGGATAAACCTTTTGAGTAGTCATGAATAATCAAGCTTATAGATATAAGAAGATGTAGTATGAGTGTCAATGAGACATCTCTCAATCCAAAGTTACTTTATAAAATTAAGTTTCTTTATATAATTACAATGGGGTTTGAAAGTTAGAGAGCTGAAACGAATTACTATTAGTATTTGCTTATGCACAGTGGTGACTTAGTAGAATCAAGGTTTGACCTTTACTGTCACTAAGTTTTTTTTTCCGAGTACGCGATACAATGTGTAGTTTTGATAAATAACCATGTCAAGTGTTATTACCAAACTCCAATTAGTCTTATAGTAAGGGGACAGAAATGATGTTTGCAAAATGGTGACTAAGTTGAACGAAGATCATGCCCTAGCTTCAATATTGGTTTTTCTGCTTTATTTGCGATACACCCTCTGGCAGTAATTAATATGCATGCAAAGTTTCATATTCGAACTCCAAGGAATTTGAAAAGTAGAAAAAACAATTTTTTTGACTGATTGACTGACGGACGGGCGAGCGGATTGCGTAAAAGACACACGGATGGATGGAAAGACAAGCTCATTTATTTTTAGCCTCCGGCTCATTACTTTTCAAGGCCCTAACTTATCTATTCAGTAGAGAAATAAGAAAGCGAAGGTAAACCTTTATACATTTTACAATGTATTTTCTCAAGATAAGTCGGGTGTTGTCACATGGCTGGTGTGGTTTGTTGTACTGTCCAATGATTTTAATGTATAACTTTTTATGAATTACTTCATAAAAAGATGTGGTATGAGTGCCAAAGAGACAACTCTCCGTCCAAGTCACAATGTGTATAAGGTAAACAAATACAGGTCAAAGTATGGCCTTCAACACGGAGCCTTGGCTCACACCGAACACCAAGCTATAACGAATTATTTTAATGAGGAACAAATACTAGGAAGCTAACGTTAAATTCGCTGTGGAATATCTGAGAAATAAATGATGTCATCTCATTGGAATAAAGTCTTTCACTCTGAATCAAATGATGTCATCTGATTGCAAAAAATATTTCACTCTGATCAGTCAAGATGTGTTTCGATACAATCGACAAAATATGAAATATAAAAAGGATAACATGAACCTCCAAACATATTGAACAAATCAACAAACAACACCAAACTCTGAGAGAACCAAATACCGAGAGAGCCGTGGTGTAGTGGTAAGCGCATCGGACTACTAACACAAATGTCCCTGGTTCGATCCCCGTTCCGGGCTCCCTTGACACCATTTGCGAGTTTGGTCTTGAGAAACGATGATAGTCTGTCGGAAGGGGACGATAAATGGCTGACCCGTGTTAAGAGAGAGCAATATCTCTTGCACGTAAAAGACACCCTTGCCGCTACAAGGCAGCACTCGCACCCGCAAAGTGGATTGATATAAATTGTAAGAACTTGTTTCCCAATCCACTATGAATAAATATGTTTAAATTAACACCAAACACTGACATACGACTACCAAACACTGACATACAACTACCAAACTCTGACATACAAACTACCAAACACTGACATACGACTACAAAACACTGACATACAACTACCAAACACTGATATACAACTTCAAAACACTGACATACGACTACCGAACACTGACATACAACTTCAAACCACTGACATAGTTACGACTACCGAACACTGACATACAACTACCAAACACTGATATACGACTACCGAACACTGACATACGACTACCAAACACTGATATACAACTTCAAAACCATGACATACGACTACCGAACAAAACCAGACGTGCAAATAACAACGAACACACCATTGTCTGATTTGTCTTACTAGGTACAGACATACATGATGTAGGTTGAGTTTAAATGATCCTGGAAGTTTTTAAACAATGTACATATACATTTGCAATTTGTAAATTTTGTTAAATCAGGATAAATCGCCATTATAATACATCACATTAATATTGCCACTGCTAATAATTGCATTTTTTAAAGCCATTTGAATGTTTGTTATATAAATGTGATAATTGGTATAGCATACTTTTTATTTCAGAAAAACTTCACATCCAGAATTACAACGGGTTTAATATAGTAAAACAATATCAGCCCTCTATAGACTTATCTCAAGTCTCAACTGTATACGATGTCGTTTATTATTTGAAACTTGCATCACTTCGGTCATCATATAGTTAACTAATATCAGCTCTCCATACATTTATCTAAAGTCTCGAATGTATATGATATCAATTATTATTTGATACTTTACATCACTTTGGATATCATAAAGTTAGCCAATATCAGCCCTCTATTAACTAATCCATACGCTGATGTTTATAATTTAATACATGTGTACTTGCATCACTTCGGGCATCATATAGTTAACTAACATCAGCCCTCCATACATTTATCTAAGTCTCTAATAAATATGATATAGCTTATAAATTGATACTTACACCACTTTGGGTATCATTGTGTTGACTAATATCAGCCCTCTATATACCAAATTTAAGTATCGAATGTATACGATATCGTTTGTTAATTGATACTTGCACCACTTTGGGTATCATATAGTTGACAAATATCAGCCCTCTATTTACCACATTTAAGTCTCGAATGTATACGATATCGTTTATAATTTGATACTTGCATCACTTCAGGCATCATATAGTTAACTAATATCAGCCCTAAATACATTTATCTTAATATCGAATGTATATGATATCGTTTATAAATTGATACTCACACCACTTTTGGGTATCATAAAATTAGCCAATATCAACCCTCGTTAAACTAATCTTAAGTCTCGAATGTATACACTACCGTTTATTAAATTGAACTTGCACCACTTCGGGTGAAAACAAACGAAATATGTACACTCGACGTGGCGTTAATTTGTATTTAGTTTATAATTATGTTTTGTCTGCTCCTAACTGTGTGTATTTTAAAACGACTCATCTAGGTTCTGCATTATTTGCAAGTTGACTTGCTAAAAGGCTGGCTGAAAACGCCAGCGCTGAAGCATTCATGGATGAACAGACTGCTTTATGGGAAAGTTCTATGTAAGCCATAAATTACTGTACATTTTTTTTTCATTATGAATATAATTTACATCAAACACTTTACATACGTCTTATGTAACCAACAATACGTGTCATTTCACAGATTTGCATATTTCCGTTGCAAAACGACAAATGTTATACATAATAGAGGACGTACGATCAGAGCCATGTTATGGGTAACCGTACGGCCTTCAACAATGAGAAAACCTCATCCCGTTTAGTCGGCTATAAAAGGCCCAGACATGAAAAGTATGAAACAATTCATTTCAAACATTGTTGAAGGCCGTACGGTTGCCTATAATTGCTCACATCTACTTCATTTGAACTTTGGTGAATATTTGTCTTATTGGCAATCATTCCACATCTACTTATTTTTATATGACAGACAGCAGGGGCGTGTTTTTTTGTTCTTCGGTAGTGAGCCAGAAGAGGTCCATTTCTGTTTTTTGGCATAGGGAAGATCTTCTGGCTCTCTTCCACCTCTTCTTTTTTATAGATAGTTTAGACGGCAGAGGCACATAACAAACATGGCGTCGTTTAGTCTAAATGACATTAATAAATTTATGAATGCAGATATATTAGAATGTGAGCAGTGTTATAAACGTTTTTATGGTATGACAGTCTTAGTAGGACATCCCTGTAGGACGATAAGCTGTATAAATATAAGAACTACACGGACAATAACAGTTAAGGGACGACTTTTGATATTCTAGGGAAGGGATTTTGATTGATTGGTGTTTAACGCTACTTTCAACAATCAGTTGGGCTATTCCGTGGTGGTCAGTTTAAATTTATAGATGAAGGATGGGGAAGGGAAGAGGGCATAATTAACTTTTTTAATCT